CAAAATCTCCCCCAACTACCCTATCACTCCCCCCACCTGCCCCGCTCTCCCTGTGTGCCCTTTGCCCCCCCCGCCTCTCCCTCCACACCCCTGCCCCCCCGGGGTTAATGTTCAACCTGGGGCCTTCCAGGGGGAAAAGGGAGGGGGCAACGGGATCTCCTTTTTTTGGGGGGGGTAAGGGGGATTATTGGGGGGTCGCTGGATCCTCTTTTTTAGGGATTTGTCATACCCCTGGGTCCTTTTTGGGGGAGGGATCCCAATTCCCCTTTTTTAGGGAGGTCACACACTGGGATCCCTTTTTTGGGGGTGTCACACACCAGGGTCCCCCCTTTTTTGGGGGGGAAGGGGTCGCACCCTTGAGACCATTTTTTGGGGGGGCGGGGGGACCCCAAATCCCTCTTTTTGCGGGAGGAGGAGTTGGGGAGTGGGCGGGGCTGTTACTCCAACTTCCGACCCCCCCGGCGCCATGGAAACAGCTCCCCCCCCACCCCGTTACCTCAGGAACCGCATCGGTGCCATGGAAACAGCTCCCACCTCTCCGTTCCCCTGGAAACCCCTTCCCACCTCCAGTTACCATGGAAACCACCCCGTTGCCAAGGAAACAGTCCCATGGCCCCCTCCCCGTTGCCACGGAAACCGCTGCCATCGCCGTTTCCATGGTAACGGGGGAGAGGAATCTCCCCCACACACGTTTCCACGGCAATGCCGCAGTGCCCCTCCCCCTCCCGCCGCTGCTGCCATGGCAACCGGCAGCCGCAGCACCCCCTCCCCCTCCTGGTATCCATGGGAACGGCGAGAGGGGGAGGGGAGATCCCTAGGACCCCTCCCCCCAATGGCTGTGGTGTGTTTTTGGTGTGTTCTTGGCATGTTCTTGGCCCCAGGATGCGGCAGCGACACAGACATGGCAAGGACATGCAAAGAACATGCCGAGCACACACCAAACACGTGCCAACAATCCCACATCGCACAGACATGCCAAGGACAACCAAGCCCATGTCACTCACACCCCATCTCCCTACACCAAGGATATGCCAAGGATATGCCAAGCACATGCCAAGACCACGTAAAAACCACAGCAAGCACACTCCAAGCACACACCAACCCATCCCCAAACCACACGCCAAGCCCACGTCACTCACACACCAAGGACATGTCAAGCACACACCAAGCCCCTGCCAGCCCCCCCTCTCTCGGTCCCCACTGGAAACGCCCGCTGGGTTTTTTATTAAAGTAGGAAAGTTTCGGCCGCGGCGAATTTAAAAAATCCCCCCCCGGCCCCTCCCCCCCAAATCCCCCCATGTCCCCTCCCCTACCCTCGGACACCCCCCGGGACCACCCGAGGGAGGGGGGAGGGGTGAAAGGGGGGGCAGGGTCCCCGCGGGGGCCTCCAAGAGTCCATCGCATGAGGGTCTCAAACGAGGGTCTCGCACGAGCCCCCGTATCCCATGAGGGTATGGAACGAGGGTCTTGCACGAGCCCTTTGCGTGAGGGTCCTCTGCACGAGGGTCTTCAAGGAGTCCCTTGCACAAGAGTCTCTTGCACAAGGGTGTCTTGCACGAGTCCTTTATACAAGTCCATGTGTCACAGCAGGGGTCTGGAATGAGTCCCTTGCACAAGGGCCCTGAATGAGTCCTTTGCACGAGGGTCTTGCACGAGTCCCTGTGTCACAACGAGCGTCTTGCAGTGAGGGTCTCTTGCACAAGTGCCTTGAATGAGTCCTTTGCCCAAGTCCTTGTGTCCCACTGGGGTCTTGCACGAGTCCTTGGCACGAGGGTCTTCAATGAGTCCTTGGTACAAGGGTCTTGAACAAGTCCCTGTGTCACACGAGGGTGTGGAATGTCCCACAAGGGCCTTGCAAGAGTCCGTGAGTCCTTCATGTCACCCCTTAGGTGTCACACGAGCCCCTCCTTGCACACTCACATATGACATGGTGACACAGGTCCCTTATGTGTCACATGAGCACCCCCGTTGTCCCCCCCCGTGTCACACGAGCTCCTCGTGTGTCACCTCAGCACCCCTTGTCCCCCCAGTGTCACACAAGTCCCCCTCTTGTCACTCCAGTCCCCCTGTATCACATGAGCCCCCCATTGTCACACAAGCCCCTTGTGTGTCATTCAAGTCCTTCCTTGACCCCCCCACCGTGTCCCACAAGCCCCTTCTTGTCACCTCCCATCTCTCCCAAGCCCCCCTTGCCCCTTGTGTTACACAAGTCCCTTGTGAACTCATCAGTCCCCCAGTGCCACACGAGCCCCCCCTTGTCATGCCCCTGTGTGACACCAGTCCCTCATGATCTCACCAGCCCCTCATGTCACACGATCCCCCCTCACTGTCACCCCCCTGGTCACCT